GAAGCCCACATTGCAACAGCATTTACAAGAAGTCTATGTACATAATATCCTCTCAAACCGTTTGGCAATTTTTTCACGATTTTCATAGAGTTTTGGCGACTGGGGTTTCTTCCCTACTCGCTGTTCTTCACTGTTTTCAGAAAAAAGTATGTCTCGCTGTGCTTCGCTCAAAAGTTCTTGTGTGCTTTGGTTCCTAAACCAGTCTTTAGGAAGCTTAGTATCTGGAGCAAAACATGCTGTCAAAATACTTTGCATTTGGTACATATCGTCTTTGACCGAACGAATGAGACGAAGTTGTTTGTTAAACTGTATGTACTCGTATTCTTCATTTATGGCTTCATGGACTATAACTGTTGTTGTGTTCTCTGTTGTTGACATATCTGTCTTTATATTCCGGATAAAAAAATAAAAAAAAATAAAATTAGCGTTATTTTCTATCTTGTATAAAAGACCAAAAATAAACGCTTTACATGTATTTTTCAGCAACTTCGTCAAATAATTTTATAGCTTTATCTATCTCATCTACTTCAAACGTTTCTTTACCTTTCGTGGGAGCACCATACATTTTCTCAAACTTTTCAAGCAGTTCTGTTTCTGCAGCTCTCATATCGTTAACAAACACAACCTTAACTCTATTGACTGTAGAGTCATATCTTTTAGTTATATTAAATGTTCTTCCTATCTTATATCTCTTTGTATTGAAGTCTTTCGGTTTCTGAACGATGTAAAGTAAGCCTTCACTGCAACGTTCTGAGTCGAATGAACCATATGTTATGAAATTATATCCAACAACTGGGTCTAACCAGAACAAAACTACTGGTATAAGACTTTTGTCTATAAGATATGCTGTAGTTCCATGAAATCTTACCGATATCATAAGCTCAGGATTTCTTGTCAAAATTTTCTGAGTTGAAGCAATTTTAACCCAGTCGTTTGTTTTCTTTTCCAGATGGAGATATAATGTCTGACAAAGAATATTTGTTGTATTTCTTTGAGTATCTTACGTTTAAATCACCAATTCTAACCATTTTTGGTGTCATTGTCTATCTTTCTAACTGTTTCAAACTCAGTGTTTGACATTTCCTGTTCTTACATACAAAATAAAAAAAAATATTTTAAAAAAACTAGCTTTTATTTTCTATCTTAAGGAAATTCATGAAATTTGGTCATTTTTTTCAGCAAAAATATATTTTAGGGTAGAAGGGTATATCTACCCCCTTTTCTACCCTCATTTCTACCCCAGTTATTTTATAAACGTTTCACATGGTAAACGTTATTTTTTAAATTTTGTGAAAACTCAACGGTTTGACACAAGCCCTAAATATATTTTACTCAGAATTTTACTCAGAATTCAGCAAAAATATATTTTAGGGTAGAAGGGTATATCTACCCCGTTTTCTACCCTCATTTCTACCCCAGTTATTTTATAAACGTTTCACATGGTAAACGTTATTTTTTAAATTTTGTGAAAACTCAACGGTTTGACACAAGCCCTAAAATATATTTTACTCAGAATTTTACTCAGAATTCAGCAAAAATATATTTTAGGGTAGAAGGGTATATCTACCCCGTTTTCTACCCTCTTTTCTACCCCAGTTATTTTATAAGCGTTTTACATGGTATATGTTGTGATGGTTCATGACTTTAAACAGTTTTGTAGCTTCTATTTCTTCACGAAGGATATCAAAAATTTTAACTATGCCGAAGGTTTCTTTATATTTCTTCTTGACATCTGAAAGAAGGAAATCGTTAGCAGTTGGATAGTTTTTGTTCAGAAATGTCAACATGTCCATTTTATCTTCTGCTGGTTTCTCTACTTCTTTCTTTAAGTCAGTATGGTCTTTTCTCATTCTTTCTATCTCTTTGACGGAGTAGTTATATTTCCTTGTTGCTGCTTTACATTTTGAACATTGTGAGTTCATTTTTGCGTTATATTCTGAAATTTGTCCTGCTAAAACAAGTAAGGCGTCAATTGCTCTCTTTAACTCAAAAGTTGCGGGTTTTATCTGTTCATTCCATATCTTACCTCTTCTATCTTTATCTCTTATCTGCAAGACACACTCAGCAACTAACGAAACAAAGTTGTCGTAGGTCTTAAATTCTTCAGATTTATATATGTCAATGACTTTGTGGTTGCAATGAAATCCAAGAAACTCATAGTTTACCTTTCGTATGAACTTCTTTATTTCTACTGAGTCAGTCAGTCTGACTTCAATTTCATCGAATTCTGGAATAGTGAGTTTTTGTTGTTGTATTTCAGGTAGTTTAGGCAAATGGTCTATAATATCTTGCATTTCATAAAGATACTGTTCATTTGTTTCATCTTTTGCACTACAGTCTAAATCTCCTTGGAGAAGTTCTTGCTTTATCTTCTGGATTTCTGTTTCGAAAGTATATGAAGAAGGAATGAAGCTTTTCATCTCTACTAACATTGAAGTTGGGTTCATGACTAACGAGTTTGGTGCTGTTGTTGCTAACATGTTCTTACAATAAAAATAAAAAATATTTTTTTATTGAATTCAGCAACAAAATTCAAGAGTTTTGTGTGTTTTCTACGAGGGTAGAAAAGAGGGTAGAAAACGGGGTAGATATACCCTTCTACCCTAAAATATATTTTTATTGAATTCAGCAACAAAATTCAAGAGTTTTGTGTGTTTTCTACGAGGGTAGAAAAGAGGGTAGAAAACGGGGTAGATATACCCTTCTACCCTAAAATATATTTTTGTCGAAAAAAAATGGTTCATTTACTCACAATATTTTTGTACAAAACGACCCCAAACTTTTAACTTCTTTTCTGCAGCTTCTAATGTTATCTTAGCGAGTTCATATTCTCTAAATTCTCTCTTTAAATCTTCTTGTTCCCATTGGTCTAGTTCGTATGGAGAATCTCTATAACCAGAACATATCTCACGTTCATGTTCTATTTGTTTTTCATGCATTTTTCTAACTTCTTCTTCAAACAAAGGTTTTGCATTCTCTACTGTATCTTCAAGTTCTTCTTCATCTAACTTCTCATGAACTTTCTTGTCTATGGAGTCCATAATTTTTCCAACTGCTATACAATATTTTGGAGAAGCCCACATTGCTATATAGTTTACGAGTCTTGGGTCTACATACGTTCCTCTAACCTGTTTGATTTCATCAGGAATTCCTGCATGAACCTTGTATAAAAAGCAACCCGCTGTTTTCCGCGGGTTGGTATATTCTTCACAAAATGCCTTAAAATACTCTTCCCAGGACTTATTTTCCAACAACTTTCTAAAGTCTTTCCTAAACTGCTGACACATATTTGTTACATTTATATAACCATCCTTGTCTCTACGTAAGACTTCAATACCGTTGTAAGTGCCTTTTGTGAATGTTTCGCCATTAGATTTGTTCGTGAACGTTTTTGCTTCGACTGACATTACTGTTCTTACAATAAAAATAAAAAATATTTTTGAGTGGTACGTCGGACATTCGTTTGTGGCTTAACCGTCGGACATTCGTTTGTGGCTTAACCGTCGGACATTCGTTTGTGGCTCGACCTCAAAACAAGCATTTTGTGAAGAATATACCAACCGCCGGAATTCCGACGGTTGCTTTTTTTATACAAAATTCAAGAGTTTTGTGTGTTTTCTACGATGTTGTCAAAATGTCGTGTTGTCAGTAATTTTAAGAGAAGTTCATTTGACCGAGGCACATAGGCACATAGGCACACCTAAAAAAACATCTAACCAAAACTCATTTTTCAATACTTTTTCAGCACTTCTCCGTAGTTATATATGAAAGACAATTCGAGATAAAAGTCGTAGTACAATGGAACAATATGTTGCACACCATTTGTTGTGAACCAAACTTGAAAGTCAGAGAAACTGTTACTAGGTGGTTCGTAGAATTTAGAAGCAATGTCATAAACGTCCTTACCAATACATAGAAAACTATTGTTGCTTGAACTGAAACTTGCATGACACATAACATTTTGAGGGTCAAACACATTTCTATAAACTGTCAAATCTGCTGGTGGGCGTATAAACCAGAACGGACCGTCAGGTGGTAATGGTTCGTTCTGGTTTAGTAACCGAAGAAATTGTGCCCAAGAACGTTTGTCTACTTGCCAAAATAAAAACTGTGTATCTCTTGGAGGGTTATTTTCAATCCTTTGAAATGAAACTGTGGAGTTCATCTTGTCATATTCTAGTTTCAGATAGTATGTTCCATTTAGTAAAGAATCGTATTTTTCTTGAAATTCCCAATAATATTTGTTCATTTGAGTTTGAAAGTCATTTAGAGTCTTCTCAAGGTTTTCGTCTGAACGAATTGTAAAGATTCTCATTTCGTCAAATTTGTCTATTAGACCATCAGAACCTCTATACTGCCCATGAAAATATACTGCGAACATAAAAGCGTTCGTTCTTTTTGAAAACAAAACTCTTCTAAATCCTATTGCCTTTGCATCTGAAGGACTTTGAAGCCAACGAATTGGATAGTCAAACCTGTAAGCACCGGATGAAATTTCTTCATCTGAAATATTCCTGCCAGCGTTTGTAAAGATATAGTCTAACGGTTTTGTATCTGCTACTTTTGTTCTTTGTTTTTCAACCTGAAACATTTAATATATGTAAAAATATACTGTTTTAAAAAATGTTTTAAAATGGTATGCAATGTTTTATTTCTCATCTAACAAACATGTTGTCTGACTGCTTGAGGGTTGGGTTGGTACCATTCGAACTTCACGCTTACAATTCCTTCAATTGCATTCAAAATATCTGAGTCGGAGTCAAACATTTGTTCTCTCTTTGTAGTCTTGAAAGCGTCAAGAAGTTGTGCGGCTGTTGTGACATTGCCATGTGAGTAGTATATATGACCGTCCAAATCTGTTACGGTTAGTCTGAGATTGTATCCTTTCTTATTTCCGTCTTGAATTGCAGCAAGTACTCCCATGAAGCCTTCTTTGTTCTTTCCATCGTCAAAGTTTACTGTAAAGGTTTGACCAGATGTAATTTTACTTCTAACTTCACGATACTTCTCATATGCATATCTTGTTCTTTCCATGGGAGCATGTGCGTCTTCACCTTTTCCTTTTTTCCTCCTCAAAGGATGCAATTGTTCGTCATGTTTCCAGTAGAACCTGGCAAAGCCGTCGTGTCCTTCAACTTGAGGTTCACTAACATCGAAAGGCATGTCCATAAGACGTTCTTCTTCTAACCTCTCTAGTCTGTTTGGATAATTTGCGCGTGCTGTTTCTAAGTCCATTTCGTAGCGAAGACCAGACAATTTGTCATAGACTTTTATGGGTCTTCCCTTCCTATATTTAAACTTCTTTGAAACTCTCCAACCATATCTTTCTAACTCTGCTTTTATTCTAGCAGACCTTCTATCCATTCTATACGGGGGCATTTTTATAAAAATAAAAAAATGTTTTTTCTTTACTTTACATAACCGCCTGCTGCCATAAGTCTTTGACGCCAACCCATACCAGCTAATGAAGGTTGACTTGGTTTAGTTTGGAAACTAAACTTTGGTTTTGGTTTATCTTCAGTTTGTGGCTTCCCTTCTTCTATTGGTTTTTCGTCACTTTTCGGTTCCTCTGACTTTACCTCACTTGCAGGTATGGTTGTGTCGTCAACATCTTCATAAATATCATATGCCATTTGTTTTTGTTTTCCTTTCAACTTTTTGTGTTTGTTGTAAAGTTTAGAATATTTCGACTCTAAGTCAATGAGATGTTCTATAATGAACTGTTGGTCAGTGAAGTAAACTTTTCCATCTGTTGTCTCGAAAGCTCCTTCAGACTTCAATATTTTATTTGTGAGAGTCTGTTTCTTTTTTGAGATACTAGCCGTTCCATTTCTATGAAAAGTGACTTTGTAGTTAGGGTTTGTATTTCCAGACCTGGCACTTTCTATTATTGAATTTTTCTCTTCATCTGTAAGTTCTTTGACAGGTTTTGACAATGGTTCTGAACTTTTTGTTTGTGGTGTCAAATCTACCGTTTCAACTTCTTCGGTCATTTCATCTCAGTAAAAAATTTTAGTTTGTTTTGTTTTCAACTGGTTGTTTAGGTTTTTTAAGTCGGTCTAAAACTTCCTGAGGTATAGGAAGAACTTGACAAACGTGGTTGTGTAACTACTGGAAGTCGACAAATCCATCTTGAGCCCATTTGTCTCAATGCTGTATTGTTCATTTCATCTCAGTAAAAAAATTTACATTCCCCACGTTTTGAGGCGGTTGCGGTTGGTTGTTGTTTACCCACTGTTGTGCATGGTTATATCCTCTGTTAAAGAATCTTTCACCTTGGTCCATATAGTGCCCTGCTTGGTTATAGTAGTCATTTGCTTTGTTATAGTAGTTTCCTGCTTGTCTGGAAACATTGTCCATCCATCCTTGAACTTTTCCTCTTGTTTCAGGATTTGGAATAAGATTTGCTGCATCTCGTGCTACATCCCAACCTTTCTGTACAGTTTGTATAATAGGTTGTGCTTTCTCTTTCAGTATACCTAATGTACTCAAAATCTTCCTTCCAATTCCAAATGCACCTCTGGCTAGTGTTCCCACTGCGGGCAAAAATCTAGATGCGACTCCTGCTAATGCGCCAAATAAACCCATTTCTTATGGGTTAAAATGACGAATTCAAACAAGGACCCCTATGTTTCTAAGGCAACAAAGAAGCACTCATGATAAAAATCTTTAGTTCAACACCAAATGCTTGGTTTATGGATATCTTGGAAAACATTCCGAGGTATAGAGAAGATGGACCACCATACTGGTTAATATTTGTTGGTCAAAACACAAGATACTGTGAAGCCATACCATTACAGTCCAAAAATATTTTAGATGTGAAAACTGCTTTGACAATATTCGTTGACAAATACCATCCAACAAAACTGACATCTGACTGTGAAAGTTCTTTCAAATCAGATGATATTAAAAACTATCTGCGTTCAAAAAATGTAAACCAATATTTCATTGTCGACCAAAACCATTCTGCTCTTGGTGTCATTGACAGTTGTATAAAAATCTTAAGAGACTTAAACCAACCACAAGGTGGTGAGGTAGATGAAATGTCATATGACGACAAATATAGACACTTCTCCATGGCAAAGATGAGACAAGTTTTAAATATTTACAATAGCCGTAAACAAAAAGGTTTGGGAAACCACTCCCCCGAAGAAATGAAAAACAACCCTGACTTAGAGAAAGACTATATATTTAATAGTTTAGTCAAAAGACAAACAAGAAAGAATGCCAGGCTTCAAACTTAAGAAAGGCGACAAAGTAAAAATAGAAATACCTAAACGCGACCCATATGAAAATACTATTGACTATGACAACAATGGGAACTCGACAGGTACTCACGTTCGTGTTCGTAAAAATAGAAGAAAGTATACAAGAGAATATTATGAAGTTTTAGGCAAACATGGCAAAATGTACAGACTGCAAGCAGAAGATAAAACTACTATTGTCAGACCTCGTTTCAAACTTGTCAAAGTTCAAGGTGGTATACTTTCAAAGACAGTTCCTAACAAATATAAGACAACTCCTGACGAATATGCTAAAGAAGTTGAAAATGACGACTAAGCAATTCTATACCATGCGTAAACTGTCATGTAAGGTGGCATGTATTCTTTACTTTGTCCCGTTGTTTGCGTATATCCTGAAACGAAATGTGTATGGTTTCCTTCTCCCTGAGTGTCATCCCAGTAACAATTTATAGCAAACTTAACGTCGTCTTTAACATCATATCCTTTACCTTTTGTCATTCCTGACCAATCCCAATATCTATGCTTATGCCAACCTGCTTGAGATGTACTTAAATCTATGTAGTGACTGTGTGCAGGTAAATTTTCACCTGAAATCGTTTTACTTCCACCTGTTTCCTTTGAAGAGTTTGCACAATACAAAAACCTGTCGACTATTTGTTCCCATGCACCAACACCAAACATTACTTGAGGACCTCTTGCTTCCATAGATGTATAAATAGAACCTACTGGGTTCATTAAATCAAACATATGAGATATTATAGGATTGTCTCTTTTGAACTTAAAATATAGTGCAACTATTTCAGGTTTCTTCTGGTTTGTGTCAGAATATTTTTTATAATATAATCTTATGTTTTCAGGGTAGGTAAAGTCTTGACTATAATATTTATTTCTGTCATCTTCATAATAGTATACTATTCTCGTTTTTTCTATTGCATTATATCTTTTATATCTATAAAAATCTAAATATAATGTTAGCTTTTGTTCATCTACATGTGGTGTTCTGACGTCATCTCCATAGTCATAATAATATGGTGCTGGAGCTGGGTCAGGCAATGTCATATCTGTCATTTCATAAACTCTTAAATATTTCTTTTGTTCGTCTCCATATAAGTTTAAGTAGCAGTTGTTGTCTAATGGAACTTTAACTTGTGTACCATCGTTCTTTTTATAGCTTACATACATTTCATTGTTATTTTTCGGAATGAGTTTATACCGTATACCATTTTTTAAGGAATGTACAAACTCCCATCTAAAATATTTGTTTTCTTCATTGACAGAAAAGTCACCAACAATAGTTTCAATATTTTTTGTTCCAACTAAACTTTGGTATATTTCATTGACATATGTTTTATCTGCTTTCTTTTCAAGGCTAACGTTTAAGTCTGTTATTTCAGAAGATGTATGTGTATGTCCAACGGCACTTTTCCTGTTTAAGGTTTCTTGTAAGTCTGTTATTTCAGATATAGAATGTGTATGAGTCTTTTTAGAATATTCGTTTTCAGCTCTTGTCACTTCACTTGACATTTTATTGTCAACATATGTTTTGTCTGCTAGTTCAGGATGAGTATGTTCTTTTGTTGCATAAGCATTGTTAGCTCTTTCTTCTTCTTTTGCTATTGCATCGTCTACATATTCTTTGTCAGCTTTGTTGTCAACATCTGTTTTCAAAAGAAGTTCATTTATAGGTTTCTCGTTTAAAGTTCCTTTTGTTGGATTTATACAGACAGTATGGTTCTTATTGTCTTGAAACAGAAACTCATCTGTCATTGGGTTTAATGTCAGTTTTAAGTTTCCTTCTTTCAATGACTCAGATATCTTAGAATAGTTTGAAAAGTTTGTTGTGTTCTTATTTAGAGCTTGCATAATGAGTTGTCGGTTGTGTTGTATTTCTCTCATAGACGCTGTTTCATTTGACATTTTTATTCTAGATAAAATATGCTTCCAATAGAAAAAGAAAATTCAAGAGTTGCTACAACTAAACCATTAGATGAACTTTTTACTAATGTCGGTCAAAAGTTTGAGACAGAGACCGTAAAGCATGAAGGCTATCGTTTTGACTACCCATTAAGATGGCTAAGAGACCCATCTGTCACAAAAGCTATTGGCTTTCGTAGAATGAAGTTTGTGTCTGTAGAAGATAAAAGTTTTCCATTTATTGTAAGGTTTCATATAGATTATATATCTGAAGGGAAACGAAAAATGTGGGAAGAAATTGAGCTAATACAAGTTGACCTTTCATCTTCTCTACAGACTGCGTTAAAAAATATAGAAGATAAAATAAATTCATGTTATGCAAAATATGCTGATGAATATGCAAATACCGAGAGCACACTTTATGTGAGAATTGTATATGACAAACAAAATTCACAAGTGTCATTTCAAATCTACGAAGACAATCCAAAGAAAGACGAACAAATATATACAGAATTCACTGCAATGTCATGGTATTATTTGCAAAGAATGTTAAATCAGAAAGTCGAACTTCCTTTAGCAAATATTTACAGTCGATATGCAAGAGATGAACATATTTATTTAAAGATGTTTTCGACCCAGCTGCTATTATTGTTCATGCTTCATTTTCTGGCGCACAAAACTCTTTCTTATGCTTGGCAAATGACTTTTACGAAAAACCTACAAAGTTATACGAACCACCAAGTGGAAGTATTTCAGACTTTCAAGTATGGTTTACTACAGATGGAAGAAAAAGAATAATTCCATTATACCATGCGTTTTACTTAGAACTTAGTTTCATATACAACTACTATCGAACGATAAAAATATAACTTTTAATACGGTTGAGGTGTTGGATTTGGTTGCCAACTAGACTGTGGTGCAGGTTCAGGCTGTTGTATAACAGGAGCTTGTTCTTCTGGTTCAGGGTCTTTAGGTATAATACCAACAAACTGACCTACCCTTTTACCAATATTTTTGACACCGTTCCAAATTCCTCTTCCTACGGTTTTTATTCCATTCCATATACCTCTTCCAACATTTCGAAAGAAGTTTCCTATCTTACTGAAGAAACCCATTTTACTATATGTAAAAATCTAATGTCCGCCTAGTCTCTTACGTTTCCTGTTGAGTTCCATAGCATTCTTTAACTGGAGCTCATACATTCTGTTTCTCCTCTGGTAGAAAACATACTCTGGGTCAACTCCTGTGTTCGCGTCATCTGCATAGAGTTGTTTATATCCCACTTCGGGGTTTGTATAAAACTCTTTCCATCTCATATTTGCATACCATGGTGGCAAACCTAACGCAGCGTCATTTGACATGGCAGTTTGCATTTGTACATCTGTTGGCACTTGACCATAGTTTGCCATTGCAGTTTGTATTCTAACTTCATTTGGAATATTCTCTGGGTTTGGTTGTCCAGGTTGCTGTGCATTCGCTAAGTTCTGTGCGTCCATTTAATATTAGATAAAAATATCTCTTACGAGTACATATGCTGAACATTTGCAGGCATTGGTTCATCTTCATATTCTCTATATCTTTCTGCCACGTCAAATAAGTAAATGACACAATGGAAAAAACCTAAAACAAGTAGTCCTATTTCAAACCACATTTACTTACTAGTAAAATTTCTTTGTTATGACACTTTCTCCAGTTTATAGGACCTCTCTCATATTCTATCTTATCGTATCTAAACTCATAGTCATGTATGTCCTCTAACCATCTCATGACACTTTCCAAACCACTTTTATCGGATGTAAAGTAAAAGCATGGATGGTTATGTACAACGTCTAAAGTTTCTAAAGAGTCTCTCAAAGTCCAGTCTACTTGGTATTGAAAATCATATGTGTTATAGAACGGCGGGTCTACTATAAAGAAAACATTTTCCTTGTCTTTATATTTTTCATACAACTCTGTCCAATAACATCTCACAAACTCTATACCCTCAGTATATTTTTCTATGTCCTCTTTGAAAACATTTGTATAGTTAAGATATAAAACGTTTGACATAAGTGTTTCAATGTCATGAACTCTTATAGAACCACTATACAATAGTCTAGAAGATATACTATCCAGTCAATATACTCTGCTTTTTTCAAACCTCTCTGACAATATTTTTCTTATCTAATGGTATACGTTCCATCTTACCTATAGGTATCTTTTCTTTTAACTCTTTCAATATTTTGTTTGTGTCTGGTATATGTTTGAGACGGTTCATATAGTTGTCGAAGTCATTGCATATAATCTTTGAGTCAGGAAATACAGTATGGCACAAATGAGATATATAGAAACTTCCACCGAACAAATCTACAAATGTTAGACCATTCGGTAGTTTCTTAAGTTCTCTCAATAGAATATCTTTACATCTACTCTTATTTCCAAAGAAGGGTAACGGTGGTTTTGTAAAATTCATTTTATATATATAATAAAAATGTTTTTACCTGAAAAGTGACAGAAAAGCGGTTTTTGACAGATTTTTATTGTGACTTCTTCGTAAAGACTTTGTTGAGATTTCTTCGTAAATGAGTGTAAATGACCCAAAAATATATTTTAGGGTAGAAGGGTATATCTACCCCGTTTTCTACCCTCTTTTCTACCCTCTTGAATTTTCATGAATTTCTTCGTAAAGACTTTGTCAAGACTTCTTCGTAAAGACTTTGTTAAGACTTCTTCGTAAAGACTTTGTTGAGACTTCTTCGTAAAGACTTTGTCAAGACTTCTTCGTAAAGACTTTGTTAAGACTTCTTCGTAAAGACTTTGTTGAGATTTCTTCGTAAATGACCCTAGTAGTATATTTTTGGTGTAAAATTCATGAAAATTCAAGAGGGTAGAAATGAGGGTAGAAAACGGGGTAGATATACCCTTCTACCCTAAAATATATTTTTGGGTCATTTACACTCATGAACTTTCTTGTCTATGTTTTGTTAAGATTTCTTCGTAAAGACTTTGTTGAGATTTCATCGTAAATATTTTGTCAAGACTTCTTCATAAAGACTTTGTCAAGATTTCTTCGTAAAGACTTTGTCAAGATTTCTTCGTAAAGACTTTGTTAAGACTTCTTCGTAAAGACTTTGTTGAGACTTCTTCGTAAAGACTTTGTCAAGATTTCTTCGTAAAGACTTTGTTGAGATTTCTTCGTAAATGACCCTAGTAGTATATTTTTGGTGTAAAATTCATGAAAATTCAAGAGGGTAGAAATGAGGGTAGAAAACGGGGTAGATATACCCTTCTACCCTAAAATATATTTTTGGGTCATTTACACTCATGAACTTTCTTGTCTATGTTTTGTTAAGATTTCTTCGTAAAGACTTTGTTGAGATTTCATCGTAAATATTTTGTCAAGACTTCTTCATAAAGACTTTGTCAAGATTTCTTCGTAAAGACTTTGTCAAGATTTCTTCGTAAAGACTTTGTTAAGACTTCTTCGTAAAGACTTTGTTGAGACTTCTTCGTAAAGACTTTGTCAAGATTTCTTCGTAAAGACTTTGTTGAGATTTCTTCGTAAAGACTTTGTCAAGACTTCTTCGTAAAGACTTTGTCAAGACTTCTTCGTAAAGACTTTGTTGAGATTTCTTCGTAAAGACTTTGTTGAGATTTCTTCGTAAAGACTTTGTTGAGATTTCTTCGTAAATGTTTTGTCAAGACTTCATTTATACTAAACATCTTCGGGGCTAGAGGGCACGAAGTGCCTGGAAGCCCCACTACCTTTTTTTTTTTTTTTTTTTTTTTTAAATATAAATTTGTTGCCATAGCCTAATTTCAAAAATAAAAATAAAAATTATATAAAAAAAACTTAAGGGTTCCCCACTAGACGATAGACCACCCTCAGAAAAGCACTTTTAAGGCTATTATATTGAATACCTAGAATCATCTGCATTAACTTATGCTGAAGTTATCTGGATTTCCTCTCTCATTTGAGAGACATCCAGATAACTTCAGCATAAACGAATTACAGACATGTTCTCTCGCTCTTTGTGGGCCAGGTATTACAACTACATTACACTAGGGCAGAGTTTTTCCGAGGCCTCTCATCAAATGAGAGACTTCGGAAAAACTCTGTCCTAGTCGAATAAATTTACATTTTCTGACACACAAATTGTTAAAGATCACAACTACACTATCTTAAGGCAGAGTTCTTCCGAGGCCTCTCATCAAATGAGAGACTTCGGAAAAACTCTGCCTTATTAGATCAACTACATAATCCCTGGCTCTTTGAAAACCAGGGAACAGTAATTGAGTAGTTTAAGACAAGGTTCTTCCAAGATCTTCCGATGGAATGAGAGATCTCGGAAGAACCTTGCCCTGCTCGAGTAATTACAGAATCTTTGGCCCTTTGGGGACCAGAAGGCGGTAGTACAAATGAGTGAGGGCAATAACGGATAACTGATATCCTTAGAAGCGCAATACCTACACAGCCTAGCTACTATATCCTAGCAGTTAGACTGCACAGGTATTGCGCTTCTGGCTTGCGGAACTCTCATGGAAGACCGATTAGGGATCTACCGCCGAGATCACTTGCTGATGTGGATGGAGCAGCACTATGATTGGCCTGATCAAAGGCTGCGTAGCATCCCAGCAAGTAGATTGTTGGCGGCGACCCCTTCTGTGGTCCACCATGAGATTATGACACTTTTGCGATTTGGCGCCAAACTTTTTTTTTAGGGAGGTGTTGGCAAATAAGCGGCAAATATATCACTTTACATATGTAAACTTTGTAAACTCAAAATGGCAATTTTGGGTAGATATCCCGGACTCGACTCGAAATTCACAAAAATTGAAACAATTTGAAATTTTTATTAGCTTTTTGAAATCTATATTATATTACCCAGATTTGCTTTACTTTTACCACCTCTCGAAAGCTGGGGACACCGCCTATCGTTGGGAGTAGCTATTAAATAGAACCACCAAGGGTGTTTTTCGAACTGCCGGTGTAGTGTAGTGGAAACATCTGACATAATGATTCG